AAATCCGAGCCCAGTGACCAAAAGCATATATGAACTAACTTCTCTGGTCCATGAATGAAGAGAAAAAAAAAAAGATGGCAAAAATACCATAGTACCCCAAATTTTCATTCATTCTTCTTCCTACCTCAGTTCTCTTGTTTCCCAAAACCCAAAAGAAAAACCTCACATCACTGCACTTTTCTGTGAATCACTTCTAGAAAACAAAACAGCAAAGGAAATGTTACGGTCCCTTACGAGAGCTGCAGAGACCCATCATTCATGGCATCTCAAGCTCGTTCCTTTCTCATCTCTCAGCCACACTTCTAGGCCCCCAAAGCCCTCAACACATTTCAAACCCGATCCCAAAAAATCTACTGCCACCCCCGCCGTCGCCGCCGCACTCTACGATGAACAAGAACGTATTCGGCAGCTCGCCGCTGATGACAAAAACCCTTCACTTGACGTGGGGCGTAATGGCCGTCCTCTCTTCACCTCGGCACCTTCCCTCTCTCACCTCTCCCGCAACGACGTCTGCACCTACTTCAAACTCACGTACTATTTCCCTCCAACCTAGTTTTTCATCGTGGCATTTTGTCGAACACTTTTTGTGCGTCTTTGAGTCTCACGTTTTTTTTTTCTTTTCTGGATTCTGCGATCCTGAGTCGGTTTTGTTTTTCAGGAAGGATACCCTGAACGCGGTTTTGCCCGAGGGATTGCCAGTGGGTATGGTGAACGAGTTTCAGGACTCGATGCGTAAGGCTTTACTTGTTCGCCAGAGCTTCTTGGATCTCCGTGATAACTTCAGGCGCGTGGTGGATCCACCAATGTGGTCCTCTAATGGTAAAGGTGCGGTCTTTGTTGTTTTTATAGCCCCAGATGTTTGATCCTGCTGGATTCTTTTTTAATGCATTATTAGGCTCAAATCCTTATGTTTCAATTTTCATTATCAAGTAAGCTTAAGAAGATAAAATTTGGTTGTCCCGACTTGAACTTGAAGCAATAGAATCTACTGCAACATTAGTAAGCACTATAATTTTCTCATAAATTGTATGACCGCACACACTCATTATCTATTATGCTGTGTTAACTTACTTGGTAGCTGCAGTTTTCTATGATGCTAGCTTGATAGCATCAATGTGCTAGGTTGCTGGAAAAAAGTAGGCCGGCTCAAGAGCCTATCCCTTTTTTGGTTTTTATCCTGCTAGCAAAACCAGGCTCCTGTAATCCAATAAATGATGCTTCTAGTCCTTATTGTTCTATTGTCCAATCAATGATGCTTTAGTCCTTGTCATGATCAAATCCAATATCATATGGGCACTCAACGCTCATCTAATTCAAGAAATAATATAAAGAAAATAATTTCAAATAAAATGTTAAGTTCAGTCATGAAAGATCAGGCAAATATTTTTTTTACTAGTATTTTAATCATTGAAATCATTTAATTTTATGTATCCTTTTAGTTAATAAGATAAAAGCACTTTTATAATTTCATTCAAACACCTCTTATCATTTTGGATATGAACTTGAGTCTGTATCTTCTAAACACTATATTTACTTACCTTAAAGGAGCTTTTCACAGTAAAAGTTTTGGATAATTTTTTCTAAATAATATTATCTAAACACACCCACTATCAAGTATGGTGAGTTTGCTATTATTTGTAATAATATTATTTTTTTTACTGCCTGAAAATTAAACATTTTTTACAGGAGTTAAAGTTAGGAAGCAAGTGGTGTTAGATGGTCCTGTTAGCTGTGGGAAGAGCATTGCTCTTGCAATGCTTGTTCAGTGGGCTCGAGAAGAAGGTTGGCTAGTTTTATATGTTCCTAAAGGCAAGGACTGGACCCATGGAGGATTTTTCTACAAGCACCCACAAACTGGTTTATGGGACACACCTGTCCAGGCTGAGAATGTCCTCAAGGCAAGACTGAATTTTAGCGTCTTTAGTTTAATTGTGTTTGCTCTTTTAACTCGGGGTAAGATATGCTAAAGCCATTTTCTGTGACCTGGCCATTCTTTAGAATGTTACAGAAGGGAAAATGATGAAACAAGGTGTTTCTTGATGACATCTTTGGCAGCAATAAGTGAATTTATTAACGGCTGCATAGTTGCCGAGGATGGTATGGTTGTGAGATGTCTGTGTTAGTATGAATCAAGTGGTTTCCTACTCCTGGGTGGATTGGAAATCTATACAACTATTTGCATTCACATAGTTCACCTGGCAGTTTATCTATAATTATCAGTATTATGTTGCAAATTTTTAGATGAATATTTATATGTCAAAAGGTGGTTTTTGGTACCCAAACTGTCAAATTGATGAGTTTAGTCTTTCAACTATAAAAAATATTTGATTTTAGTCCCATTTCCAACTTTTTAGGGGTGAAGAACCACTACGCAATGTTAAATTAAAACATGAAAAATAGACTAAATTCACATATTTTGGAAGTTGGAGGATTAAAATCCTCAATTTGAAATTACATGGACCAAAATTAAGTTTGAACTTAAGTATAGGGACTAAAATCACATTTTTTTTCTCTATCTATACCTAGCAACTTTTAGTGAATAAAGAAAGAATGAGTATGCCTTTCTGTCAATTTTATTAGTTTTTTAAACTGCATTCTTGCTCGGTCTTTATTGTCCTGAATCCTTTTGAGAGTGTAGTTGTTTTAACTCACCCTACGGTGTTGCAGTTATCTTTTTATAATATTGTATCGATGAACATGCAGTCTAGAGGGGAATATCCCCAGATTATCCTGTTATAATGTTGTGCACTATCTGTTGCCGACCATGTTATGTTACTTGTTATGAGGTGGCTTATTATAGTTCTCAACCCCTATACATATAGGTACCAAAACAGATGGATTTTTAATGAAATAAATTTTGAATCTGAAATTCCGAGGAACAAGGAAAATGTTTGTCCTTCTTTGTTTATTTTGATTTGGTTGCCTGGTTTTATTCTACATATTAATATTAATACAAACCCTTATTCTACATATTAATATTGATATAAACCTTACTGTTTTGTTTTTGGCTTCCTAGACTCATTACGCCGAGTTATTTTGACTGTTATGTATGGCTCATTTATTTCCAGGATTTTTTGAAGTACAATGAGTCCTACCTAAAGGAACTTCCATGCCAAATATTTGATCCAATCGTATTAGGTGAGGGTGCTGGTGTTGGATGGTTGAAAGATGCTGATTCCTTGGCAATTCCTGAAGGTACAAATTTATACGAGCTGGTGAAGACTGGTATTGAGCAGACACATGCAGCTGTTGGAGTGGTAGTTCGTTTGAGGAAAGAGTTATCACTTGTTAAAGACAGGCCTGTTCTTATTGCAGTAGATCAAGTGAGAAACAAATTCCTTGATGCTAAATGATTCCCATTCTTTGAAATTAATTGTTTTCAAAATTGGGTTATGTTATATTTTGATTGTCTGTCTTCTTTTGTGGTTGCCTGTATCCAGTATAATAACTGGTTTACATTCAGTGAATATGAGGAGCCAGTCACTATCCGGTCTTGCCGGCCAATACATGCTAGAGAACTTACAATGGTTGGTAGATTGCTTTGTTTTAGTTTAAAACATACTTTACAATATATTGCATTACGGATTATATTTCTGCTTCTAGAAATGTGCTAGTTTCATGCATTTTTATTGGGTTGCTGTAAGCTTACTTCTTTGAAAGTGTTGGTCATGTTTTTGGTATGGGATGGGAAAGAGACCTCAATTTCTGGCATCTCTGTTTGTCTTCCCTAATTTACTCGTGTCAACAATTAGGCTTTTGCGCCAATATTTAGATACCTCCTTCTTACTATTGCAGGTGAAGGCTTTTAGATCAATGATGCATGATGATATGATGGTAGGTGCTTTTTCTCATTCAACAGCAGTAGGAAAACTTAGAAAAGAGTTACCAGATGTTCCAGCAGATGCTCGTGTTATGTTTCCTCGATACAGTTTGGATGAGGCCGAGACTGTGTGCCATTATTATTTAAGGTATGCTTACACAGTCGTAGTGTCTAGTTTCATCTGTTAATAAAACAATAATTTGTTTTATGGTAAATTTTCCCTTCAATAAACTTTGTCAAGTTTTTCTATTTGAAATGTATCATTGTTTAGGCAATATCCCATACATATCTAAGACATCAATAATATCGTCAAAATAAGGAGATACATTCTAAATTTTTCATTTGTCCTTCAGCAAGTGACTCTTAATGACCTTTATGCTCTTGGATCTATCATTTGTTGGTTATTGTTGCAGCAATAGCCTCCCTAGTATATATCCAACCTTTACCATGTTTTGGATGTTACTAATGCAAACAAATTCCTTAGCTTGAAAATTTGTTTCAGTTTGTTGAAGTTGTGTCATTATTTTTGACAGGCAAAGGCTAATTCGTCGCGAAGCTTTCTCAGAAGAAAACTGGAAGAAAATTTACTTCCTGTCCAATGGAAATGGAACTGAGATTAGGGGGTTGGTTCCTTTCATGCGATGACAGATAACAGACGCATTATTTTTCACCATTGAGATGTGTTCTGATTGTGATTTTTAATAATATCTATATCTCATTTGCTTCACCGTAGGATACAGATGGATTGCTGTTGGCATGGTCCATTTCAACCCTTTTGATTAGCATTAACAATCTTCTCAAAGGCGCTGTACTATTATGTATATTAACCACTTGCATCTTATAGTTTCAGAATCAAAAATAATTTTTTTGACTTTCGCTATCTTAAACGTTATTTACAAACTAATCACACCCAGAAGCACACGTATCCAACGTATTTTTCATTTCTCTCCTTGTTGTACAAGCACCATTAAACAAGTATATAGGAATTTGAACGGATCAAGATGAATTATTTTACACTTGAAATTATGTCATGTCTTTTGTAAAAATAATAAACACGCGTAAAACATTATTTAACATTTCAAAGAAGAAAAAAGTAGTGTTTCGTGTTGTGTAATTTTAAGATATTTATATAAAATGTAATTGAAAGACGAATATAAGATGTACTAGTTAAGGATTAAAGTATAAAATAGTTTGCATGTTGGACGGATCAGTTTACTTGAGAAAATATACTAAAATTTAGCATAATACAAGAACTAAGACTTGGAATTGGAAGATAAAAAGAAAAACATTAGTTTAAAAAGAACCAGTTTCTCATTGCTAGATGCTATTATCATCAGCTCTCGTAAGCTTCAGTGACTCCATCTCTTCCCTAAACTTGGGCATGGAAGCTTTGGGCAGGGAAACAAAGACCCTAACTCCTGCTTTCATTGAAGGATCCAAGTTACTAGGAGGCAAGAAAAGGCATAAGTCCACATACCCTAACATATTCCACGGAACTGGTATTATATTCACTGAAGCCTTCCATCCAAAGTTCACTTCTTCCAACAAACTCAGCTGTCTCCAATCTGTTAACACCACAGATGCACATGTTCCTTCAACCCTTACGTTTGTCTGTCTAATTGTCTCTAACATGTTTATTGTGTTTCTGATATACTCATTATTGGAAGGAAGCTTTTTGTTCTCTTTGATGAGCTTCACAATCTCTGAGAGTGGTCTTTCATCAAGTTCTTTCACTGTTTGCACCACATATGAACCCACAAAAGCATTCCCATAATACCCTTCAGGCAAGGGTGGATTCAACAGACGTCTCACCCCTACAGCTAAACACAACATAGTTTTCCCATCAGAGTTCAATTCCAAAGCTCTAGCCCTTGACCTCCAAACATAGGCACCAAGTGTTTCAACAGTTGTGAAGCTTTCCTTCACATCAACACTTTCCTTCATCAGTTCCATTTTGAGTCTTTGTATGCTCTTGGCGTTGAAGTTAAAGCATTCATGTGAAATCTCATTGGTTGGCCAAAATGGTGAAACTGCCCTTGAAGTCTCATCAATGGGAAATTGGAGTTGTTCCTTAAGAAGTGTCCCCATTAGTCTCTCCCTCTCCCACACAGGTTTCACCGAGGGCTCACTTTTTCCACATGCAAGTTCAGCCAAGGCTCTGAAGAATTGAGATGCACCAAACCCATCACAAACACTGTGTGACAACCCCATGCCAAGAGTGAAACCCCCACAGAGAAACTTGGTCACCATGAAAGCCAGGGCGTGGTTTTCACCTTCAGAAGGGTTATCATTATTAATGACCAATTTCTGTGCAGTTGGAACATCGATCCCTTCTAGATAATGAAGAGAAGAGAGTTCACAGTTAGCAGTTGCCTCCAAAAATGGAACTCCATCAGCATTGCAGTTGATTCCAAGTTTTCCATCATCAAATGTTACTATCTTCCCAGCAAGAGGATAATAGTAAACCAAAACCTTTGAGAGAGCTTCTTTTATCACCTGAGCAGGATCAAGTTGGCCATTTGGGGAATCAAGATTTGCTTTGTAAACATAAATGGTCTGACACAGAATGTTGAGAACAGGATCACTGTCAATGGTGGACAGAGGAAGAAGTTCAGATGGTGTGGGCTTGCAGGGTTTAACTATTACAACATCCTTCATATCAAGGACAAGGGGTGTCTTCATGTTTTCCAGGAATTTAGCGGATAAAAAACTGAGATGTGAGGATATAAGTACACGTATCAATATGTATATATAGGTAGAATTGCTTGTGTAACCCTCCTTTAGGTTTCATCCATCCATTGTGAGGTCGGAATCATTACACTCCCATCTCTAGAAGTGGGCTTGGTTGAAGAATTTGACAATGACACACATGAAATAGGAAGGTGACACCTTCATTAGGAGGGAATTGAGATTTGAAAACGTAACTAACAATTATACTACCAACTTTCGTGCTCTAGCAGAAATTTGTAACATTCTTGTTGGCTAAATAGACTAGTGAAGATTACAACAAAATAAATGAAATTAGATATCCCATTTGATTTTCTAACGTGTGTGACAAGGAACCGAACAGTAGCAAAAATACACACACTCAAAGAAATATGCATGTATCTGTATTTCTATTTCCTCTGTAATGTGTAGAAAAAATGAATATAGGTGTCTGTCTCTCCCCCAAGGAAGCCTCCCTTCCTCCACTGGCCAAGAGGTCCAGTCTCAATTCCCAAATAATATTCGATACCCTCTCTCTGTTGGAAGTCCCACATCGACTAGAGATAAGGCCAATTCACCTTACAAGCCGGTTTTGTGGGGTTGAGTTAGGCTTTAGGCTTAAAACCCACTTTCTAATATGGTATCAGAGCCATGTAGTGCCTATCCTAGCGAGTTCTAAGTGGGCATTCTATTCTTCTATTCCACCCGCAATCGGGCCGCTATTGGACCACCCAATTTCTACTATCACGCACGAGATGTCTATACCTCGGCGTGAAGGGGGTGTGTTGGAAGTCCC